GAGAGAGAGAGAGAGATGGGGAGAGGGAGAGAGAGAGAGAGAGATGGGGAGAGGGGGAGAGAGAGAGACAGAGGGAGAGAGAGGGGGGGAGAGAGACAGGTGGAGTCTGCCATCGTCATGGCAACCCACCGTTTTTTTTCTTTCCCTCCATATAAGGCAACCCGGGTGATATCATACGGTTGTTCTGAGTGAGAAGTAACGGCAGCAAGGAGAGAGAGAGAGAGAGAGAGAGAGGGGAGGAAAAGAGGGAGGGTGTTTTTTATCGTTTGAGTCAGGGACAAGAGGAGAGAGAGGGTGACGGACAGAGAGAGAGAGAGAGAGAGAGAGAGAGAGGAGGAGCAGCAGCAGGAAGAGATGCTAACAGCCTCTGAGGCTCTACTACGGGTACCAGTGAGGGAGGACTCTGGCGGATCCTCGGGGCTCGAGGAAGACACCGAGCCGCAGTGAAGAGGGAGAAAAAATAAAAAGAGAGAAAGATGGAGATGGAGAGGAGGAGGGGAGGAGGAAGAAGAGGGAGGCGTGTGGAGCGGGAGGATGCACGAGGCGGCCGACCTGCTCATTAAGTAACAACGGTAACTCTCTCTCTCTCTCTCTCTCTCTCTAACCTCCGTCTTTGCATTCCTTCAGCTGAGACATTTTACTGAAGCGTGACGCTGCTGCTGCTGCTGCAGGAGTGTGTGTGTGTGTGTGTGTGTGTGTGTGTGTTGTGTGCATGTTGTGCATGTGACAGGTAGACCGCCACAACTCATCCTCGCCTCCCTTTTGACTAAATGTGTGTGTTGCAGACAGGTGTTGACCAGGTGTGTCCGTGCTGTCGCAGCGACGTGTGTGCATGTGTGTGTGTTCATGTGTGTGTGTGCACAGATGTGTGAGAGTGAATGCACATGTGTTGGTGTGTTTTGGGGCTGGAGAGGAGATATATATATATATATATATATGTATATATATATATTTATATAAAAAAAGAGGGTGGGTACAAAGATGGCTACTTGTCATGCGGGTCAGGCTCGTCTACCTTCCTATGGGCGCTTTGGGGATTTTCAGCTCAAGCGATTGAGGAACATTGCAGTCAGTCGTCCCTATTGTGTGTGAGAGGAGACAGCTTTTATGTTCAAAAATGGTGCATTAAACTATTCGTGGTAGATTTCACCGTTTTTTCCAATGGAAGGTGAATAAATGAAGCTCTCAGGATACACGATTCCTCAGTTTGTTTCCGTCACAATCATCCTGTGATGATGGTGTTTCCTAGTTGTCAACTTGTGATTGTGAACCTTCAAAGTTCCAAACAGGAAGTCAGCCGGAGGTCGGAGAGCGCTGTGGCTCCGTGTGTCGAGACGTTATTGGTGACGGCTTTAATGTTCTTTTAGGATAAAAAGCAGGAAGCAAAGTGGTGAGAAATGTGAGTTCATTGATTGTTTTGTTTCATGTGAATGTGTAACATGATGATGATCTTTCATTGATATCTTGATGCTTTCACTTTAGTGTCTAACGTGGAGACGTTACATGTAAACTGCAGACAGAAGAGCATTAAAATACTCTTTATTTCATCGAGTACAGTTCCTCTGGCCCATCTGGCAGTTTAAAACGGTAATGAGTACAGCAGACGTAACGAAAACACAAAGTTTCACCAGAAAGAAAATGGAGCCATTCTCCCTGTGAGATAAACTACTTCAATGTCTTTCTTTCTGTATCTGCAGCAGAGTTTATCTCCTATAAACAGGCCTGAGATCAGTTTTAATGGCCACATTGACTCCTGCTTGCTCCTGTGCTCAGGTTACCCTTCGTGCAGTGATGTCGTATGAGCTCTTTTAATGAGGAGTTGTTGTCTCTTGTTAGTCTGAATCATGGTGAAATCAATACTTTTTTTATTTAGTCTGCTTCTTTTTATTCTAACTCGACACTCGTCTGTTCTGCTCCAGTTTATCTTCTTTACCTTATAAACGTCACTATTTGTGTGGACGTTGTTCACCAGATTCTCTTCTCGAGAGATGTCGATCAAACGTCAGACTTCAGTCGTTTTAACCTTCGTCCGTCTCAACAAATGAAATGTTCGCTGACGGCAACCGGGCCACCCCTGTTGGCATGAAAACGGTCCAGAGATCGGAGATCGGATGTTTTGGTCCACACCAGAGTTTGATTAAAACGGACAGTAAATATTGTTGCATACATTTCTTAAAAAACATAACTCAACATAACTTAAAGTCGTCTGACCGACCATCTGACTGTTCATTGTGACTGTCTGAGTGTGAAAGTTCAGAGCTGATGATCAGTCATTTTGTTTTACTGGAGTCCATATGAACCATAGTTTATCAAATTGTTATCTTATTATAATTAGGAAATAAGACAACTGATTTCAAAAGCAGAGAAGAGAAGCAACAACATGGCAGCTCATGTTCAACAGAGGAATTGTTGATGTTTGTAATATTCATCTTTGTCTCCTCTTCTAAATTTAAAACTAATCCAGAAAGATTTCTTAAAAGTCTTTCTGGAGGTTTTCCTTCGAATAAGAACTTTCTCAGTCAGACCTCACTATAGCAATAGTTCACACAATAAGAAGCAGTAAGAAGTTTGAATGTTATTGTTAATGCAGCGTGATGTTCTGATTAATAGATTCTACAAATGTTAAGACTTGGAGGAAACCATGTAACATGGTGTCAAGAAAGTCCAAACTTTGTTCAGGCTGAATACTTATACATCATTTCTTATATTTTTCATCTACTGCATGTTCTCCATGTGGTCACCTGAGTCAAACAGATTCTCTAAATAGAAGTTAGACACTTAACAACATGTTACTTAAAGACAGAAAGGCTGAACAACATCATTTAGGAAGCAGAACCTGTCCAGGTAGACTTTAAGTATTGGGTTAAATAAGCTCAGTGGCTTCCGATCAGGCATGATTTCGCTGTTTTGGTCGGCGGACGAACCACACGGAGCTCTGAAATCTGGGTCACGGCAGCCCACGGGCCTGTCGGTCGTTCTTTCACAAACCCTCTTTTCTTCCGTCCTTCAACTCCCATTTTCAAAATGAAGTGAGATGGATTTTAAAAGTTGCAGCTGAGAGGAAATATTTGGGGATCCAGGAAGCTCCCAGAACAGCTGCTCAAACATAAGTTATGTTCCACCTACACAGGAGATTAATTACTGAGGGAATTCCTCTTTATTCACAACATATGTGATGCAGTTTAGACAATTACTTATTGATTTGTTGACTTTGACTTGAAATATGTTTTACATGTTCTACAAGGAACAATATGTATTTAAACTGTAAAAATATATAATTTGCTCGTACAGTACAGAGGTATAGCACAGGGATTGTTGTTGACACTATTATATATTAAATATTATCCATAGAAATTTGAATTATTCCGTGTTTATGTGATGAGTCGGCGTCAGAAGTTTCTTTGTAATTATGTAGAAATCAAAGTAGTGAAATTCTTTCTCTCAACTGTCCAAACACAAAGATGCTTCTATTTTCTCTACTATTAACTATTAGAGAAATGTTGCTAACAGGCTAAACTATTAGAGAGATGGAGACATGGCCGGCTGTTGGGCTTACTTTCTGTAACCAGTGTAGCATTAAAGCATGGTGGAATTAGCAAGATAACTAGCGGACGGCTAGCTACTTAGCTAGCTTGCTTATTTCGCTATGCTTTCATGCTACACTGGTTCCAGAAAATGATCCAAACAAAGTTGCCACTGGTTGTTTGCAATGTGCTTTCCTACATTTTTTTCCTAGGCATGAAGTTGTTACATTTTTACTAATTTAGCGGCTGGCTAGTTAGCTAGCTAGCTACCATGCTAATTCCACCATATTGTCATGCTACACTGGTTACAGAAAATGAGCCCAACAGTGTGCTAGCGCTGGGTCTAACAATCCATTTGCGTCAATTGGCGACACTAGAAGAGCCAACTCGCCGCCAGGAGAGCATGTGGAGACTAGCTAGCTAGCTGACTAGTTAGCTAGCCGTCCTCGCTGTAACACTTGCGGTCCCGGAGAGTGAGTGACTGTACATATTGAGAGAAACTTTCCTCAGCCGTGATACAAAAAGAACAGAAGTGCACAGTGTTTGCATATATAATTCTTATGCATCAACTGAATGTCAGTTGCATGCAGCCTCGGCGGCTGTGTCTAAAACAATCAGGAGGACGTTGACCTGAACGTTGGCCTCCTCCCAGAAAAAGTGTAAATGGCAGCTCCTTAATCCAGTGTGTGCATCGCTTTAATCCAGCTCCTGGGTCCACGCCAGACAACTCTGCACCTCCGGAGAGAGCGAGGGGTGGAATTCAGGAGCTCCATCATTAGCGTGTGTGAAGTCACTGTAAACATTTGATTAATTGCTGAGAAGCAATTACAAGCAATTAAAGTCCTATAATGATGGCACTGAAGGACAACGCAAGTTAATCTGGCTATCATCACAATAATTAGCCCATCATTTTCTCACCAAGCCTAATGTATGAAAAAATAAAAATAAAAAGGCAATTTATTGGTTTGTTTGCTTCACTGCGACTTGTTGTCCTTTTTACAGCAAAGCGGTGAAGACATTTTGGGCTGTACCGCACTCGCTGCACAGAAATAATGAACCATTTTAACCTTCTTTAATCGCTCTTTGTGGTGTCTCGTACATGTCTCCACATTGGAGCTGAGTGACGAAGCATTTTCTCTGGTTCTACCCAGCCGGTGATGTTTTGTGGTGTTGGTGTTCTGCAGCTTAACACATGAGAAAATGTCTCACACTGGCTCCCTTTTCCCTCCTCTTTCACCCTCCCTGTCCCTTTTCTGTCTCCTTCGCTCTTTGTTTTTCTCCCCCCTTAGCAACAACCAAACTACTGGAGCTTCAAGGTCAGTGCCAATACTGTGTGTTTGTGTTTCAGCGTAAATCTGTCCCTCTGTGTGGATTTGTCTCTTAATAGGATAACTTCTCATTGTGTCTTTGCATGCCTGCTTGCCTTGCCTTTTTTCTCCGTTGCATTCAGTGTCGGTCACATGTCGGCGCACACTTTTGTGTTTAACTCTCTCTTGCTGGGAAATTTCTGTCTCAGCAAGTAAACTGAATTCTTTACTTCAAATGGAGATTGATTGGTGGCTCATAAGTGCTGTGCTTTGAATTGAAGGATAGACTGAATCCTTCTGTGTGAAGTACGATGTGTGGTCCAGTTTATCCGGAAAAACAGTTGGTTGAGTTCTGATTTCTGCTGATTCTCTGTCTGAGGTTAGAGTGAAGGTAACATTGATTCAAATAGGTTCGGTGTTGTGCTCTTTGACTGCTGTTCAGAGCATTGTAGGCTGGACTAAAAGATTCGGTGTTTGTGCTTTAAACCTGCATTCTCTCTAGTGTCCACCAGGGGGCGACTCCTCTGGTTGTATAGAAGTCTATGAGAAAATGACTCTACTTCTCTCTTGATTTATTACCTCAGTAAACATTGTAAACATGAGTTTATGGTCTCAATCTCTAGTTTCAAGTCTTCTTCAATACAGCATGATGTTCATTTAGTACATTATGGTCCATTTAGAGTCAAACAGACCATGAAGCAGGGGATGCTTTAGGGCGGGGCTACACAGTGATTGACAGGTCGCTACCACGGCGTTGTCCAGTCTGGAAGTTGCCCGTGTTTGTACTTACCTCCGCCCTCTCGTGTCACTTCTGATTGCAAAAAAACAAGATGGTGACTGCCAACCGAATGGATTTCCAGGAAACAGATATATTCGTGGTCGCCATTGGAGGAAGCCTAATGACTTCGGTACTTATCTGACATATCCTTTAGCGCCACCAGCAGGTCAAAGTTCTCCCTTCTCCTGTAAAATATCTCAAAATCTACTCGATTGATTGTCATGAAATTTTGTCCAGACATTCATGGTCCCCAGAGGATGAATCCTAATGACTTTGGTAATGATCTGACGTTTCCTCTAGCGCCACCGTGAGGTTAACATTTGTGGTTTTGAGTTAAAACCAGATGGATTGATATTACAACATAAAAGATCATCTGTCATCATCGATTCCTGCCCTTAAATGCTGCATGTGCTCGCTGTGCAGCATGCTCCTCTTTTTCCTTTATTACTATTGAAGCCCAACACACTGTAGGTGTGAAATCGCACTTAATGTGCCTCACTTGCAGGTTTGCCCGCTTCCAGGCCTCGGGTCAGTTTACACCTGGGCTTTTACTTGATTAGCAGGAGGCGGAGAGCTTCTGAGCGGTCCCAAATGTAGAGCTGGAGACGGCTGTGAAAGTGTAATCTGTACTGTATTAAAGAGTTTACCTAGTGACAGGAAATATGAGAGATGGGATTAGTTATCGCCTGAGCCAAATTTAAGCCCACACTGTTACAAACACACGGTTTGCCTCCAGGATTTCTGAACCTCTCCGTTGCCTCTGAAAATGTGCCCACACCATCAAAATCAAACCTCATTTTCAGTTGGAGTCATTTTTTTTTACCAAGCACTGGCAAGCTTGGGATGTAAATAGTGTGAAATGTGAAATGCACAAGCAGATCTGGAAATGGAGCCATTAGCGGTCGTCAGTCGCTGCCGGCTTCATGCTCTCTCTCTTAATAATCTGTAGCTGCAGCTGAAGCGCTTCAAACTGGCTTTGAGTTCCCAAAACTGGGGAACTCGACTCCCATCACGTGGAAATATTAATGCAAAGATAAGTTATAGAGTGAGTTCACACCAGGACTGTGAACTTATGAACTCGGCCTCAACAATCCTGGAAAAAACATGTGCTCAGTCATTGAAAGGAAGCTTATTAACGGTGAGAATGTAAACTGTGGACCAGTTTATTGGAACAACAAACACACAGCAGTCAAAGATTCTTCCATGTGATCAAAGTCTAGAGAGCTCTAAAGGGACATCATACATTTACACATCCCTGCTCCACTCTTCACTTAAATAAACACTCGACTCTTTAATATCAGACTTGTTTTAACTCACTCTTAATTAGATTCTTTGTTTATCATGTTTTACTGTCAATTTTCATATTTTTATTCCTTAATGACGTCTTTTATAAATGCACTGTGTTTATTGTCACACAGTACTCATAGAGCCACATTCCTTGTGTGTGCAAACATACGTGGCAATAAACCATTTTTGATTCTAAAAATATCTTATCAAGATAATTGAGTCGTAACGTGCCACTAGAATCAGCCACTAAGGTTTGGATTAATACGCCCAGCTTCTCTACCGAAGAAATAGTCCCTCAGAAAGGGTTATTTTGAGGATTATCCGGCGTAAACAGACATGTTTCTATGTGATTGTCAAGCGATTTACTGCAAACTTTTGAAATGTAGCAGCGTTTCCTTTAAACTGGTTTGGAGGGAATAAACTCTGCTACGGTTTAGTTTGGGCTGAAGGTGGCGCTAAAGGCTTTTCATGGCTGTAATCTGCCAGTAAACAGTAAGTAGAAGAAGAAGTAGAGGCTGTGACGCGGAAACAAGAAGCCTCGACCATCCAACCGATGGAAACATGGAGGTCTTCAGGAATTTGTTACACTTTTGCAAGTTTGAATTTCGTTTTCATGTCAGCTGGTGTCGGACATGTTTGATTCTGTCCGGAGGCGAAGACGAGCGTTCACACGTTAAGAGAATATCCAAGAAGACACTGACAGCAGAAACAGCTGATCAGTCATGTGAGTTAAATGTCACAATTTATTCTGCAAAGAAAAAGTGCTTCATCTCTTTTTAAACGAATGTAAAAACATTTTTTTCCCGTTTCTACAGCATTGTTAATGCAACACATTTAAAAATATGCAAATAGAACCAGATTTCTAAATTCACCTTTGTTGAGGTAGAAATCTCAAACTAAAGCTAGAACTATGAAAGCCGTGGACACTGGGAGATGGCTTGAGAGGTAAATTAGAAAATATCAGTTTTAGTGATTTGGGGATTCTAAAGTAAAGATTTTAACTGGTTCGTAAGATGAAACCAAACGTGTGTGAATTCAAACCCGAATTCAAACGTCAGTGTTTCCTTCTCATCTAGACAAACTAATGCCAGACTGTTGAGAGCAACTAAAGGCTGTAATGCATTATTAGCTCCACCTGAGACTCACCTGAATACATTATGCTGATTGAACGGAGCCTTCTGACCTCTCACGATGTAGCCGCTGGGAGATCGTGCTGCTACGCACACGCTAACCGAAGCACTTACTGCAGCGCACCGCACTTACACCACCAAGTGATGCTCTGAAAGGCTCTCTGCAGACCTATCGCTGATCCAGCGAATATCAACACTTCTGAAATGGAACAATGGAAAAGCAGCTGCTTTAGAATTGAATAAAATATAAATGTGTCAAAGAGAACATGGCTGATATTCTGTGTTTTTGTTATTGTCCATGAATCCCATGCAAACACCAAAACAACAATGAAGTATTGAATGTATCAAAGCCTGATATCTCTTCTTCCTCTGAGCTGTTGAGCTCCATTTAAAAACACATCAGTGAGCCTCACTGTTGTTCCTGTAACACACACACACACACACACACACACACACACACACACACACACACACACTGTAGTTCATTTATAAAAGTGCTTCAAGAAAGAACCACCCAAATAAAAATGTCTGATAACACTAATACATTTCAAATAAACACATAAAAGCACAAAATCCTTTTAAAAGCTTCTCTATAGGAATAGTTTTCAAAAGCAAATTGTGTATTCATCCCTGGCTGAAAATAGTCCCAACACATGAACTCCTGTTTGATAAAAACTACAGTGATCAGCTGTTTTAGGAAATTACAGAGCCTCTTTTTGGCGTCTTATGGGTTTGATGCTGAGAGTCGTGAAGTATCGAGTTATGAACCAGAATAAATTGTTGGTTCGAGCATCTTTAGCGTCTTTAGCGTCTGTACTCTGACGCATTTCACACTGAAACTGAATATTTCAGCGGTTTACAGTTGCAAAAAGGATTCCAATCAAATGCTTCACATTTTGATTGGACGGCTAAAGAGTGGGCGGGCTCAGACTGCAGCCTGACGTGGAGCTACAGAGGACTGTGACTCCACACACGAGTACCTATGAATCCCACCTCTCCTCTCGGCGTAGCAGGTTGAGGCAGAGACGATCGCTTAACAGTACTAACAGTATTTATCTGACTATAATGTGTATTCTGGATACATGGAAGCCTTCCCCCTGTCACGCCACCGTTCTCATAATCTTTCCATTCTGTGTGCCGTGTGTTCTTCTCCTCACTCGGTACGTTTCTCTCGTCTTTCTTAGCTCATGATGAACACATGAACATCGTTTTCTCTCCCTATTTGTTGCCGGTCGGCAGCTCATTGGATTGGTTATCGCTCCTCTCTCCTCCGGGGGAGTCGGGGGTGTCTCGTCTCCTCCGATGCAACACAAACCCCTGCAGCAGTGCCCCCGCTGTGTGTGTGTGTGTGTGTGTGTGTGTGTGTGTGTGTGTGTGTGTGTGTGTGTGTTTAATAGTCCCCCACTGGTCCCCTTTGATGTTTCAGTGGTTTGCCAGCTCACTAAGCGCACACACAAAACATACTCCCACTGCAGGAAACACATCATACATTAGCAAGACATGTTATGTTTGATGCAGCCACACACATGTTCATGCACACATACATGCACACATGTTCATGCACACATGGACATGCACACATGGACATGCACACATGTTCATGC